AAGGTTCAAATATGATCTATTGAAATGATTACTCTTTTAAGATGCATCAATTTATGTTTCATTCATTCATTCATTCATTTTGCTTCGACTTAGTCCCTTTATTAATCAGGGGTTGTGAACCAGCGCTGTGAAACACCCATACACTCTCACGCTCACAATCATACTCAACGGCCAATTTAGGTAATTCAATTCACCTATAGCGCATGTCTTTGGACTGTGTGGGAGCACCTGGAGAAACTCCACACAGAAACATCAACTGACCCAGCCAGGACTCAAACCAGCGACCATCTTCCTGTGAGGCAACAGTGCTAACCACTGAGCCACCGTGCCACCCAATTTATGTTTCATTTAGAATTTTGCATGTACAAAAAGTGCTTTGTTGGGTTATTTTTAAACTTTAGTTGGTTATTTATTTAATAACTCTGCCAGTTGGGTTAAATATTTGGTGCTTTGTTGGGTTATTTTTTAACCTTTATTGGGTTATTTGTATAATAACTTAGCCATTCATTCATTTTCTTTTCAGCTTAGTCCCTTTATTAATAAAGGGTCGCCACAGCGAAATGAACCACCAACTTATAGTATTCAGCATATGTTTATGTCCTTCCAGCTGCAACCCATCACTGGGAAACACCCATACACTCTCCTTTACACACATACACCATGGACAATTTAGCTTACTCATTTCACCTGTATCGCATGTCTTTGGACTTGTGGGGGAAAGCGGAGCACCCGGAGGGAACCCACACGAAAACGGCGAGAACATGCAAACTCCACACAGAAATGCCAATTGACCCAGTCAGGGCTCGAACCAGTGACTTTCTTGCTGTGAAGCGATCATGCTACCCACTGTGCCACCGTGATGCCCATAACTTAACCAGTTGGGTTAAAATTTTGAAAATTTTAAGACTGATTTAACTGACACAGAACAGCTTTATCAACATGCGTATATAATGTTGTTTTTGCGTTATGAAGTTTATTTACCTCTAAAGCAATAATATTGCAGTTATTTTTTGTCAAATTACCTCGTGTCATGTTTTTTATATTCGTTTCACCAGTTTCTTATTTATTGATGTTACAAACGCGCACCTGCCGATCTACATTAAACAGATAAAAAAGCTTTCTCTACCTTCTGTGTTCATCTTTACAGGTTTTTGTTTTTTTTTGGAGCAAATGATTTACATATTTGGCGAAGCAGTGGCGCATTATGTAGTGCTGTCGCCGCACAGCAAGAAGGTCGCTGGTTCGAACCTTGGCCCAGTTGACGTTTCTGTGTGGAGTTTGCATGTTCTCCGTGTGTTCGCGTGGGTTTCCTCCGGGTGCTCTGGTTTCCCCCACAGTCCAAAGACATGTGGTACAGGTAAATTGGGTAGGCTAAATTGTCCATAGTGTATGAGTGTGAGTGTATTTGTATGTGTGTGTGTGTTTGGATGTTTCCCAGAGATGGGTTGCAGCTGGAAGGGCATCCGCTGCATAAAAACGTGCTGGATAAGTTGGCGGTTCATTCCACTGTGGTGACCCTGGATTATTAAAGGGACTAAGCCGACAAGAAAATGAATGAATGAATGATTCACATATTTGAGATATTCAACCACCATTCTCATCTTTGGGAGACATGAACCTGGTGTCTCGTCCAGCTACGGTACGCTGCCTTTTTATTAAAAACATACTGTCCTTTCGCTAAGAAACTTAGTTTCAAATCTAAATATTAATATAGACACATGCATATGCTACATTTTATTCACAAAGTTGCTGGTTCGAATCGAATCGAAGCATTATATTGTTATTGGTCATTATTCGCCACTAGAGGGCGCTGACTTGATTGCAACATTTGTTTCTTTAGTCATGAAGAAGTCATCCTGAAAAAGAGACTTGCTATCATCATTTGTCAGAAGAGGATTCATTATCCATTTCAAGTCACTAGATTATGAACTATTATAATACTATATATATAAAATACTATATATATTAGTTGAATTTCAAGGCCCAGGTCATCTGCCACTTTTATGTGTTATATTTATTGTTAAAATGAGATTACATTAGATTAGATTCAACTTTATTGTCATTACACATGTACAAGTCAGGAGTGCAATAGCAGCAAGAGCAGGATACATGTATAAGTTATAAAGTGCAGTTATAGAAGACTATGGGTAATATTTACAGATAGATGTACTACAGTATGAATATTATATACAGGTTGTATTAGCTATGAACAGAGATTTACAGTAGATAAATATATGTACAGGTTGCAATTAATAATCAGAAGTGTGCATATAGATATGAACATAATTACAAATGTATATGTACAGTGGGTATGCACAATTCAAAATAGGGCTGCACGATATTGGAAAAAATTGACATTGCGATATTTTTTTCCTCTGCGATATATATTGCGATATTTTATATATATATAAAATATGCAATATATATATATATATATTTACTTAAAACTAGGGCTGTGACGGTCACCATGACAACCGCGTCACCGCGGTGGTCATTGCCACCTCGGTTGTCCATTGCCACCGGCCGTAGTACGTGACGTCACGCACTTTAAAACACAAATTACTGTTATGTTGCCAAGTATTACATATCTGTTAGAATATAACATTAGGCGCGATTCAGCAAGTTCAAGTTCAACCATGAATCTTGTTAGAAAACGAACTCTTACATCTGGGAACATTTTGGATTCGTGCCGAACTAGAAAGGTGAACGAATCAATTTGGATTAAGCTTTTTGTATGGGGGTTTTAAGTAAAGTGTGTTTTAATATTCACTGCTGAGTGCTGAGAGTCCAAACACTGAGGAGCAAATCCATCGATACGCAAGCTAGTGGCGATTGACGGCGAGGGAAAAAAAGCCATGTTGGCTTAATCAACTCCTGTCTTCTAAACGCAGAAGCCCAGCTCAGCCAGGCATGGCAGAGGCATTTGCAAAAATGGCCAGATACAAAAGAGAAAGTGATAAATGGAAGACATTGACGAGAAATTGAGCATAGGCTATTTGGTAACTACTTAAGAACGCGCCGCTCCGCAGAGTAGAGAAACCTGCATTGCGAGAAATGCGGTCGGCAGAACAGAAGGAGAAGCCCTCTCTCGCATGGTTGTGAAAAAGTAGCCTGTCTGTGCATTTTTCGCTACAAGCACATCGTCTGACAGTGTATTGCTGGAAACATTATAACCCCATTCTTCACTTAAACCGGACAAAGTCAACATGTTAGTTTTTCTGGCAAATAATTAAAAATATGACTACAAAAGGTGGAGAGAAACTACGCTGTTTTTTTAAACATCTGACTTATATTGTTACTAGGTTAATATTTTCTTTTTACGTATAATTATTAATATTTATATTATTATTACACTGATTAGTAAAGTGCCATTTAGAATTTTTGTTAAGTTCTTAAAAATGTAACGTTTAATTGTTATTATTATACAGTTTCAAGCAGTTAAAGTAATGTAATATTTAACTACAATATTTATAAACAGTTTAGTGTTGTTTTATTAACGAAAGTTCAAAAATAAACATGTACGTTTATACGGATGTTTTATTTATTATTAAATTCGGTTATTCCTTAATTTTTACATAAAAGGTAGGCCTAAATTAACTTAAGTAGGCTACATTATTTGTTGATGTACGAGATCGAGGAACATGTTTGCCAGTAAATAATGTTCGCACCACTTAAAAAACAAAACAAATGAATAACTTGCGAAAAGGATGCAATAAAAAATGCAAGCGCTTAATCATTCTTCACAATCGGATTCGTACGTGCAATAAGCCGAGGCTATATTGCGCCGACAAGAACAAGCCCTAAAACTAAGTCTAGAGAGAGAATTAATACTAGTTAATATTAATGATTATAAACACGAACTGCGTTGTATGATAAACGCATCACAATGATGTCGTGATCTTTGCTGAAGAACTGATATGTTATCGCCGTCTCCCCAGCCAGGTTTTCATCTGCTTTTTTCCCCTTTTTCTGGATACAAAGTATCAGCGCCAGACCAGTGGTTTAAATTATATTTTACTCTCCTGATTTTTTTTCTTTTCATTAAAAAATAAATAAATGTTTAAAGTTTTGTATTGCATAGCCTATATATTTTTTAAGATTATCATTCAGCCTACACTCTAAAAAAAAATTCCGTAAAAAAACGGTAAAATGTACTGGCAGCTCATTACACAAATATTTTACCGTAAATTAAAAACGGAAAACTTCTGTTAATTGACAGTGTGTCCACATTAAAAAAACTACAAAATATCAGTTTTTTGACGGTTAAACTACTGTAAAATAACGAAACATTTTATAGTAATTTAAGGGTTTTCTATATAAAAAAACGGTTATTTTCTGTGTTTTTAAGGGTATACCAACAGTAAAAAAGCGGAAATATTTTGTGTTTTAATAGTATACCTATTGTAAAAAAACAGACAGATTCTGTGTTTTAATAGTATACCTACTGTAAAAAAACAGACAGATTCTGTGTTTTAATAGTATACCTACTGTAAAAAAACAGACAGATTCTGTGTTTTAATAGTATACCTACTGTAAAAAAACAGACAGATTCTGTGTTTTAATAGTATACCTACTGTAAAAAAACAGACAGATTCTGTGTTTTAATAGTATACCTACTGTAAAAAAACAGACAGATTCTGTGTTTTAATAGTATACCTACTGTAAAAAGAGGACTTTTTTGTTTTTTAATAGTATATATACACAGTGAAAAAATGAACAGATTCTTTGTTTTAATGGGATACCTACTGTAAAAAAATTATTATTTTACTAATTTAATGCTCTTCAAGCAGCATAGAAATGGCAGTTGGTAAGGATAAACATATACATATGGGAAATACACTATTAATGGTTTACCATAGTAAAAAAAACATTTATTCTATACTGTATGTGTAAAGAAGCAGTAAATAGTTTGTTAACTGTGAACTTACAATTAGTACAAAAACAACTTTGCAATTAAAACAGATTCTTTAATGAATACAAATCATTTGAATTTCAAATAGCTAGTTATACACACAATAATACATATTGACATGTGAATCACACAGTGAGAGGTCTTGGCAAATAATCTCATAGCAAAATAGTTTTAAATGTTAGCTTTAAGATAATTGAGGACAAGTGGGCAAATTACAAGTACTTTACATTAAGAAACCAGGTTAAACTGCAAGATGGCAGGAAACGGACGATACAACTGGGTCTTCTTCCGCTCCAATACTGATACTTCAATGGCTGTAAAACAAAAAACAAAAAAAAAACAACAACATTACTAATGACATTTCACTTACAACTGGGGTGATTCCTTGCATGTCAATAGTTTACACAAATGGAAGTTTTATCATCATCTTCTTGTCTCACTCTTGTAATTTCAAGCCTGTCTGACTGACATACTTCCACAGAACAAAGTAGGAGAAATAGGAGCAACATTCTTTAAAATATGATATTTTGTGGTTTGCAGAGGAAACAAAGTCATACAGGTTTAAAATGTCAAGAGTGAGTAAATGATGAATTATCAATTATTCAGTTTTGGGTGAGAAATCACTTTAAGATTTTTCAAAATAAAGTGTAGGTACTTTTGACAATATTCGGAACAATAATGCAAGAGAGAAACAGTAATATAAACAAACTATGGTGGTAACACTATAATAACTACAGGCTATGATTCATTTATGAAGCATTAGCAAATAGTGAATTCATTATCTGTTAAGCATTGACTCTAAATTAATAGATGTTAGTAGTCGGTTATAAATACAGCAGCAAAATTTGCTACAGCTACAGTTTAATAATTGTGTTATCAAACTTTAATGATTGATTTTACATTACTATTTATATATATATATATATATATATATATATATATATATATATATATATATATATATATATATATATATATATATATATATATATATAATATTATATTTAATATTGCATTATTTACAAAACTTCTTCCAGTTGTGGCCTAATCTGTGAGGATTATTTATGATTTATAAATCCTTATAAACGACAGTTAAAGGCTCAGTATCAAATGAACATTCTTATCTAAACAGTCTTATCTAAAAAATGTAATTACTGTAAATATGAAACCTTGCTGAATAGCTGGAGTGCCAAAATATAACATAAAACTGGATAAAACAACACTAAAATAATTTAATGATATTACGATGCAACATTTCAGTGTCATTTAGCTATGTTTAAACTGTACAGTAATTTTATTTTAGATAAGATTTATTTTTCATTTAATACAATAAAATTAATTTCATTTTTAGAATATAACTGAATCTTTAATTGTGATTTATAAGGGGATTTACAAAGCATAAACAATCCTCACTTTAGGCTACAAAACTGGATGAAGTAAACAAAAGCACTTATTAAAATAAATATTGTATATACTTTATATACTTATTTTTTGTACTTTATTTACAAATATAACTATTACAATTCATTCATGTATTTTCCTTCAGCTTAGTGTGTACTCACACTATGTATAGTTGCCTTAAACCAGGCCGAAGCACTCTTGTCTTCCCTCCCGTCTCCCCTGACGTCCCACACTCACATTGCATTCGAGCCTGAGCACTCTTACATCATCGATGATGCGCTGTTTAGTTTAGGAAGTGCTCTCAGCATGGAGGAGAATTCTTTAGTTATATTGTTTTAGTCATTTGGGATGCAGTAAAACGCTGTCAAATATTTCGCCGAACAGATCAGCCACTTTTGATGTTAATAAACAATCATAAATTCCTTGTGCTGCAGGAATAGGAGGTTTGCTAAAGGCGCAGCTGTGGTGCAGTAAGGGGTTTGCGTTCATTGAACAGTAATAGTGATTAATTTATCCAAATCAAAGTCCCTTGCAAACTGTCATAGATTAAAGACACAAATCCCTCACTGCACAACAGCTGCACCTTTAGCAAACCTCCTAGTACCTGCAGCACGTTGACTTTGATTGTTTATGAGCGTCAAAAGTGGCTGATCTGTTCGGCGAAATATTTGACTGCGTGTCACTGCATATTGAACAACTAAAACGATATAACAATATAAAGAAATCTCCACTGTGCTGAGTAAGAGCACTTGTTAAACTGAACAGTGCATTATTGATGATGTAAGCATGCTCAGGCTCGAATGAAATGTGAGTGCAGGTCGTCGGGGAGACAATCACGCTTCCAGTTTCAAGGCAACTGTGCATAGCATGAGTACGCCCTTGAAAACACCCATACACACTTATTTACAAACACACTCATACACTACAGCCAATTTAGTTAATCAATTTCCCTATAGCTTATGTCTTTGGACTGTGGGGGAAACCTAAGCACCCGGAGCTCTACTTGCTGTGAGGCAACAGTGCTAGCCACTGTGCTGCCCAACTATTACTATATGCCTGAATAATAAGATATATAAATGTTAGTTTGAATAGTTTATTAACCATTTACTTACACATTCTGAATGATTAGAAAAAAAATACACCAACTATTCTTAAATCACTGGTTTGTAAATAATGCTATACTAAATTTAGTAATGAAAAATTAATCATTAACAAAATATAAAAACAAAATCATTAAGCACATTATAGATGTGCTTATAAGTCAAGATTACAGCATTTGCAGCTGTAGTTATAAACTGTATACTAAGGTCTATTAATGTAGAGTTAATGCTTAACAGAACTTTTTGCTAATGCTTAATAAATTAATCAATAGTGTTTAGTTATTATAAAGTATTACTGGTGTGCTTAATTACCTTTAAATCTTCCAAGGATTCTGAAAGTCTTTCTGGTCTGACAGGAATCGAAAGAGTTTAGATGGTATGTTTCTGCTTGGTGCTCTTTTTTCTGCTTTGGACCTACATTCTGGATAGTTACTCAGCATGCTCCTGTTGTAAATACAACAAACATGTATCAACTTACTTGTCTTATAAAAATGAAATAAACTTAAAAATGTAAAAACAGACCTTCATATAAACTCCAGAGTCAGGGCTGCTTCCTTAGGCTACATAATGTTTAGCACATAAGAGACTAAACATGTAGCTCACCACAATTAGGGGACAGCCCAATGATCTTGTTATTGTGACTGTGGACTCTTCTTCTGAAAAAAAGAAAAGTGAGTTGTGTGTTGGGTCTGGTACACGTCCACATGGAAAGAACCTATATAAACATATGGTTTAATATAGGTTTTGATTTAGGTTTTTGAAATTTGTGACAAATATAAAATTGGCTGTTTTCCTATATTACATGTACATATATGGGTACATATATGCACACCTATATGTTAAATTATTAATATTATAAATAATATTATAAATATTATAATTATTATGTAAAATTATTCAAATACATGTCTGCTACATAATTTAAAAGAAATTAAAATATATTTACTTAATCAAATATTACAAGAAATAATTATAGTGCAAGAACAAAATAAGGCAAAAAAAAAACAATAAAGGAAAGAAAACAAAATTTAAAAAAATGAAAAACCATTTTGTTTTACATTTCTTTCTTTTCCACTATCTTTATACAAGAAAGAATTGACCTTGAAAATGTTTCAGGAAAACGTGTAGACATCATAGCTTTCCATCTCCTCTCACTTATTTGCCATAGTTAAATTCCATAACATGCTAATAACATGTGATACAAAAGTCAAGTGGCACATACATACTGTAAGTTTTTCGCATTTTTTAAGTTAGTTCTTACCCAGAGAGCAAACCTACGTTAAATTAACATTGAATAAATGTTAAAACATCAATCAAACTATCATTGAAACAACGTTAAAAAGTCACCACTGATTTTTAGGCAGTTTTCTACCCTGAAATAATGGTAATTCTATGATGATAAATAGACAAAACTGTCCCAAAATCAGCATTTATTCAACCAAAATTAAATCTTTTTTTTTTTTTTTTACAATGAACCCAACATTAAATAAAATGTTAAATCAACCACACTATCATACAGTTAATGTTGAAATTTAAATTTGATTTTTAGCCAGTTTTGCATCCTGAAATAATGTTATTACAATGACGCTAAATAGATTAAACGGTCACAAAATTAGCATGAAGGCCTGGCTCACCATCAAGATGCCCACATTGAAATTGTCTCTCTCATCATCAGGTGGCTAAGAGAGAAAAGAAAAGAGATTCAGCAGTGGACCAGTTATTTCCTTATCATTTTAAGCAGACATTACCAAAATAAAGAACTTGTAACATTTCAAATGATGCAAAAATAAATAATAATAATAAATAACTGCTTGGTTTATTTAACAGATTACAGTAGCAGCTTAAAAAACCCAGATAAAACACCCACATCAACCCAGTACTTTTTAGTTTGAATACATGTTAACAAAATTCTAAATTACTGAAGCAAAATGTGTTCATGTAAACACTTAGTAAAAATATAGGTACAAGAAATTGGTTTTGCTAAATAAAAAAAATAAAAGCATCAATATAAAAAAAAAAACCCTGACCATTTTACCTCTTAAGCTTGAAAGTTTACTGTCATCCCCTGTACTAAGTACAGATGGTCCAGCACAACTGCCCGAGTTCTGAAAGAGCAAACACATTCTTGGTAAAATGACAATAGATGCAATGCTAAATATAAATCATTTTTTATTTTTATTTTTTGTATTATTTATAAAAATGCAGTACTGACCAGTCAGCATCAATTTTTACACCAACACACCTACAACAAAAATAACACTCATTCAGTTTGAAACATGCAACGTAGTCTACTTTTATACTTTACATACTTTGTGAATAATAAAAAAATGAAAACATTTAAAACCCCAGCTGTATTTTATTTCATTTGTCTATATCAATTCAAATTTAGTTTGGATTGAACGTAAGATTTAATATTTTTATTTAGATTGCTGTGAAAATGTACCTGTACCTTGTACTTATAACCAAAATTACAGAACCTGGAAGTCAACAAAGCAAAATATCAGTGAACCTTATATGTACAAAACACTTAAAACCAAACAGAAAAAACGCTGAACATTTTACCTCTTAAACTTCAAAGTTTACCGTCATCTCCTGTATAAGGTACAGAGGGTCCAACACAACTGCATGAGTTCTGAAAGAGCAAACACATTCTTGGTAAAATTACAATAGATGCAATGCTAAATATAAATCATTGTTTATTTTTTTGGTTAAAAAATGCAGTACTGACCAGTCAGCATCACTTTTTACACCAACACACCTACAACAAAAATAACACTCATTCAGTTTGAAACATGCAGCAGGTAGTCTACTTTTAAACTTTAAACTTTGTAAATAACAAAAAAATGAAAACATTTAAAATCCCAGGTGTATTTTATTTAATTTGTCCATATTAATTTAAATTCAGTTTGGATTGAATGTAAGATTTAAGATTTTAATTTAGATTGCTGTGAAAATGTACCTGTACCTTGTACTTATAACCAAAATGACAACATAAACATAAAGCAAATCTTATATCATATATCAGTGAACATTATATCTACAAAACACTCAAAATCAAACAGAAAAACCCTGAACATTTTACCTCTTAAACTTGAAAGTTTACTGTCATCTCCTGTATAAAGTACAGAAGGTCCAGCACAACTGCCTGAGTTCTGAAAGAGCAAACACATTCTTGGTAAAATGACAATAGATGCAATGCTAAATATAAATCATTATTGTTATGGTTAAAAATGCAGTACTAACCAGTCAGCATCAATTTTTACACCAACACACCTACAACAAAAATAACACTCATTCAGTTTGAGACAGTCTACATTTAGACTTCACAAACGTTGTGAATAATAAAAAAATTAAAACATTTAAAATCCCAGGTGTATTTTATTTCATTTGTCTGTATTAATTCAAATTCAGTTTGGATTGAATCTAAGAATGTACCTGTAACATGTACTTATAACCAAAATGAAAGAACCTGAAAGTCAACAAAGCAAAATATCAGTGAACCTTATATGTGCAAAAAAAACTGACTCAAAATCTACATAAAAAGATTTCATTTGCGATAACACCATGTGTAGTTCACTCTATTATCAAGGTTTCATTCAAATAAAACTCCTGATCTCCTAATAGTAAAGAAAGTATTATTTGCTATAATGAATCGAACTGACAATTAGTTTGAAGAATTTTAAGACTGTGGAAGAACAACTCATCTTTATATCTTCATATTAGCTGCCCTTGAGGTTCTTAAAAGTGAATAAATAAATATCAATGACAGTTCAACTCGACTACAACAAACATTTAATTGTGTGCTTTAAGGTACACGTTGTAGGCTATTTGAGGCCGAAAACGCATGACAGTGTAAACACTATAAATACTTTTAAATGTCACACACTTACTGTATCACTCTGTTATCTCTGTACACACAAACACGCGTCGCGAAATGCGGAAGTTTTTTTTTTTTCGTTCCATTTGGCGAGCGTTATTAAATTCCATAACATTCTCATCAGTTCTTGCTTCTTATTTGCGTCTATTACCCCAGTTTGTCACGCGGAATGAATGAAATGTTCATGAGTTAAAGTGAAACTGCCGAACTGCAGTTAAAGTCAGGCATCCTGCTGATTTGATTCAGAAGGGCACTTGTTTGTCAGACGGCTCACCTGTCAGGTATACATCCGCGCTAAAATGTCAAAGTATGAAAGTCACCCATGAGCTGCAGCTCCCAACCCAACGTTGAGAATAGATTAACGGCGATATATATTTTTTATCGCGCGATAAGTCTCGCGTTAACGCAGCACGTTAATGCTGATAACGGCCCACCACTAATAATAACTTAACGAGTGTGTATTTCCCCTCATACCGAGTTACAAATGCCTCCAATTCACGCGAGTCTAACTTCTAACTTAACGTTACTTAAAAACCAGCAAAGCTGTTCCACTGAAACTCGGTCACACAGCCTACGTCGGTCAAACTAAAGCTAACATTTGATAACGTCAGTAAAATATGAAATTAGTTATTAATATGCAAACAAACACAGACGGTCAGGTTACGAGCGTTTGAAACACGTTGACGTTAGTGTTCATTAAAGGTAACGTATATCAACCAAACTACACAGTGTCACAAACTTTGAATGCTATCCCTTGTTCAATGCACTGTACAAAGAAAACATTTATATTTCTATTAAATAATTAACATACCTTTCACACTCTCACAGACAAGCTGACGTTTACCGTTAATCCAGTCAGACTCACGCAGGTGCAGAGGGAGTGAGTGGGTGATTGGGACGTCACGTCACTTCCCGCGCACGGCAGTTTAGAAAAATACGGACAAACAACTGTAAATGAACAGATACCATATTTACTGATGAGGAAAACGCATAAAAAGGTAAAAAATCATTAGGTAAATGCTTGTTTAAATTACATTTAACCACTCATAGCTCAGTTTGATCTTAATGAAATAAAGTCTGATCTTATTAACAATATTAAACTTAATTCACTGCTGTACTTTCCATGGGCACTTCATACAAGACAAAATCATTTTAAATAACGATAAAAAGTTAATAAAGCAGTCTTTTAACTAAAATATTGTTATATGTTTTATTAATCGTACTTACCAGGGAAAAACAGAGGAAGAAATATGTCCCGATGTCCATCAAACGCTGTCTGAGCTGCGATCCCCTTCCCACAATGCAATTCGAAAATGTATATAAACGGAAAAACACCCGTAATACGTGTATACGGAAAAAATCTGTTAAAATATACAGTCATTTAACTGTTATTTTACAGATTTTTTTTACAGTGTACCTGCAGCGCATGAGGTTGTGTGCTGGGCAAATCCCCTTTACTCATGCTACCCATTTCATTTATGACACTGTAAACCTGACTTGGCAGGCTGATCATCTTTAAACTCAAAAGGTGTTTTTAACTTGAGACTGCATGCTTCTGCAAAATGTGATGTTTCTTATTACAACTGTTAGCGGTGTCAAAATGAAAGCAAACATTAAAAAGGGTTTTGTTTTATCAATTGTATAGTTTAGTTTTAATAATAGCTAATGTATATAATAAATTATAATATCGATTATTGTGTAGACTACAATGTTCAACAAAACAATTTTATTAGGTTACTCTAATAGACCAAATCCCTAACTGAAAAACGAATGTGAAAATTACAGGCAGTTGCGTCTTTGCTAAAATTAACGACAAATTTCTTTTGCTTTTTTCCCCTTTAGAGATCAAAAGAGCTGTATTTAAATAATTATTTCACTAAAACATGAATTGAATGCCCAGTTCTTTCCCGTGTGAGTTTAATGCGCCTCCGCCGCGTCTGCGTTTTTAAGGTTACAGGTGCACCCTGACCTGACGCGGGGACCAGATCTGTGTATTGCTTTAATTTCTCAATTTTCATAACTGCATTGCATTTTCATATGTTAAAATATCAAAATTTATGTTCTGAAAGTAGTAGGAATGACGGGAGTGTTAGTAAATAACAGAAAGAACTTTCACTTTTGAGCGAACTTCTGTCACGTGTTATTTTAGTATTGTAAAATAAACAAAAACAGTAATGCAGAAAAGTATTTTTCGCTCTGCCAAGCCTTCTCTGTTGCTGTATAGAGAAGCAGCCTGCTCAGTCTCCTTACCCCGGCCCCACCCCGCCCACCGACTCCTGAACGTCTCACTCACTTACTCACTCACTCACTCACTCACTCACGCGGGCATGCACTGCGGAAACGCAGCTTTTTGATATAATGTTTTTCTTGTTCCCAAATACAAATAATTGATCAAGTATTGTTTGAAATAAGTATTCGTAAAAACACGCTATTCCTGCTTTTCCGAATACCGTATTCCGGTTCGGCTCCACCCATAATATATATATATAAATTTTTTTTTTTTTTTTTTTTTTTGCATCGCACCCTCCTGCGATGTGACTATCGCGGATGCGCACATCGCGATTTCGATGCTGAAACGATATATCGTGCAGCCCTAATTCAAAATGAATGAATCAGTCATTTTGCATTATCCTGCATAATGTAAGTTTTGTTTCTTCTGCGTAACACAAACTTTATGTTTAAACAACATTAAACACTGTTTACTTTCTCAGTATGTAAGCGGATTTCGTCTTAATCTTCATAAAGAAAGAAAGAAAGAAAGAAAGGGAAAAAAGAAAGAAAATACAGAAAGAAAGAAAAGAAAATACAGATTGTGACAACATTAATTTAATTAAATTATGTAATAATTTTCATATTTTATTAAAATATTCCTAAATTTAGAATAAAGTGCATTGATAACTGAATACTTTATGACTTGTTGATCAGTTTTAAATGTGTTATTTCCACTTTGAGACCAACACCTTCAGAATCTGTTAGCAGTCACTGAAAGCAATAAAGACCAATGCACACCCACATTTGCGCTGTAATAAATGCATTGTGTGAAGTCGTGTGCTGCTGAGGCGTTAGGACGCGGTTTCCTCCCTCTCTAGGGAAAAAGTACAAAAGCATGGAAAAGCCCACCTGGGACTAAGGGAGGCGGGTTAATTAAAAACCTTCCGCACACACATTCTCATATTCACACACAGACATAGAAGGTTATCAGGGGTCATCTGATCAATTACACTCAGAAGCAAGGAGAAATTGGCCAGTCAGTTAGAGCTGTGAATCACTTATGTTGTAAATCTGCCCCTTGGGAAGACACAACATTTCAGCTGAATTGCTATTTTGAAATGGATTTTTGCGTACAAATGCTGGGAAATATAAGAAACTCGGTTAGAAGTTTCCAGTATGACTAATTTTGTTCTGTTGAAGACAAAATAAGATATTTTGAAGAATGTTGGAAACTGGTAGTCGCCAAAATGTATATTGTAGAATGTCAAAAAAATTATATTGATTTTAATTTAATAAACTTAATTTATTTTCTATCCCACAGGGGTTAGAAAAATGTCTTTAGACAGGCTCACACACAGCAGCAAATGCATAAATACACTAACACAATTATTTTAAAATACTGTTTACAAAACCAATGGCAGTGGGAATAAATGTCTTTGTGTACCTAGCCTTTTTTGCCAAAGGGACTCAGTGGATTTCTTTTTCCAACATTCTTCATAAAATCTTCTTTTTTGTTCTACAGTATAAAGAAACCCAAATGGGTTTGGAAGAAATGGAGAGATGGCAGATTTTTGGAGAAATATCCCTTTAAGGTTTTTAGTAAGTAGTTTTTGAATATATTTTTGTTACACAGAACAGAAAATTGCATATGGTTTTGAAAAGCATGAGAGTGAGGCAAATTCTAGTCAAATGCTAGTGTAAAACATTGAAATGTATAAAGCAAAAAAAAAAAAAAAAAAAAAATTCATTATTTTCCTACTCAGAAATATGATTTTAACCCTGAACATCCTTCATCATGATTATTTGTTCATCCATTTTATTTTCGGCCTAGTCCTTTTATTAATCGGGGGTTGCCACAGTGGAATGAACCGCCAACTTAACCACTGCACCACCACGCTGCTCATTATTTAAAAAGTATTTAAAGCACCAAGCAGATTTAAACATTTAATGATTCTTAGGTCTGGGCGATATGGCAAAAATGCAATCTCGATAATATCATGATATATATTTATACATCATTTGTTAATGCTTCCAGATTTAAAAGAGTAGCCCAATGACTGAAGCCACAAAAAAATAGAGGCTCCATTAAATGGCATAACATATTTTCGCATGATAAATTTTCGGTGGGGGTGTCACAATGGCACAGTGGATAACACAATTGCCTCACAGCAAGAAGGTCACTGGTTCGAGCCTCGGTTGGGTCATTTCCCAATGTTCGCGTGGGTTTCCTCCAAGTGCTCCAGTTTCCCCCACAAGTACAAAAACATCGTATAGGTGAATTGGGTAAGCTAAAATTGGCCGTAGTGTATGTGTGTGAATAAGTCTGTATGGATGTTTTCCAGTGATGGGTTGCAGCTGGAAAGGCATCCGCTGCGTAAAACATATGCTGCATAAGTTGGCGGTTCATTCCGCTGTGGCGACCCCAGATTAATAAAGGGACCAAGCCGAAAAGAAAATGAATAAAAAATTCAGTGGACAAAAATTCTGAACATCTTTAATGTCAACACACTTCAAAATTCCCATTGTTGTACATTTCTGCTTTGTGATTGGCTGTTAAATCAATATAGAGTCAAAAATATATAATTTTTATTGCACACAACTTACAGTATCATTGTTATTGACAAATTTTATCGCAATTCGATATAATATCGTTTATCGGCTCAGCCCTAATTACACTTAATTATTTCATGATCATTAAAGCTGAATGTATGATTCAGGAGCCAGAGTCAGTCAAAATATAGTGGGACTTTTTAAGTAAATTTTTCAAATCAAATTGTCCCTAAATACTCATACAAAGATTATTTGTGTATAAAAATTGAACTTAGAAATCTGTAGAATTTCTGTTTTCATTCTAACTTGTTTATTAAAGTTGACTTCTGGAAAAATAATAGAAGTTTTATCTCTTTCTAGAGTCACGAAAGTGCTGGTAGCGGATGACAAGCCAAGGATCACGGTTTTCAGCTAAAAAATCTTTAATGTTCTATTGCAGAAAAAAAAGTTGCCCACATCTTGGTGGCCTGAAAGTGAGTAAATCAAATGTTTGTTTTTAGATGAATCAGTATATATAAATATATATTTACTTAAATATGCTTCATAAGAGTTTCATTGTTTAAAGACAAGGCAATTTGGCAGATGGGAAAGGAACTGTTTCATACTGTAATTCAGATCTGGCATGTTTGCGTGTGCACACTGTAAACGATAGCAGTAATTGCTATAATTCTGCATCCAGACAGTGATTATGTGCTGGGTCATCTTCAACAATGACCTATAAACACCAGACCCAACTAGGTTTGTTTTTAATTGTTTAGCTGGTCCATTGTTTATGCTAGATAAAGGGGCAACAATAGTCTGGCCACGCGTCACCCCTCCCGCCGGTCACACCCCATTCACCGCCTCTGGCCCACTAATTATTCAAAAATGCACATTTATGCAAATAGCCCTCCTTGTAGATTAACCTAATTCATTGATGTAAACAACGGGTAGTCGTGGGATTAAAGTTTTGTAAATTAGTCAAGGCCACTAATGATCTCTGATGTCTGCAAGTCTGGGCTTTTGCTCTTCTTAAAGCGTTATTTTCTTTTACTGTAATCTGACATGCGAAGTGAGGCCAAGCCACGCAGTGCAAGACACGTTACACGAATCTGTCAACAACATAAACAACAGTTAAGGATTAAAGATTAAGGGGGATCCGCAGGGTCAGAGACGTTTTACAAACATTCTCTGTTATAACCTCTATTAGCTTTCCTTTGTAATTATGCATGTGTTTATATGCAAATAAGCCACGTGCCCACCTCATAAAGCTAGATGCTAGTGGCAAGTTGCTAGTTTCGCAAATTACAAATAAAGTTCTGGCATCATTTACATGGCCTCATGTCATTAAACACAAATGAAAATATAAA